TTCTTTTCGCCGCACGGGTCTCTATTTTATAACGACCATATAACGTCCACTCCACTTCGCTCGTCGAGACGGTTATACAGCAGCTCAGTGCCTCTCCAGCGTCGGTTATCCCTAGTCGATAGGTTCTTGTTGAGTACGCCGGAGAAGAGTTTAGCATTGCTGCTGGAATATTGCCTTTGCATATTCTCTCTCTTCGCTTCAACGACTTAGCTTCTGTGGATTTTTTCTATGGGCGTTCTGTAAGCAGTTCACTTTGCTTGCTTTGGTTCGTGTAAGTCAAATTTCCATATATACTACCCAAAACATACTCCCCATTCCAATATATATAAAAGCTTTTCAGCTTCAACCTCCCTGGACCACGTGCGGAGGTATGTTAGACTCCAGGGTCGGAAGGAAGATGGGTTAGGTATGTGAGATATCATTCCTAGGCGCCGTCACCTCTGACAACGCCACAAGCTTAAAGATATCTCTCATTCCTTTGGGATCTTACCTCAATATCGTTTTCTTATGTGAAGAGTCTTGTTAAAAAAAACCCGATGCTATCCAATTCTTTTTTCTCTTATCTGTGATATCTCTTTCTTTCTTTGGAAGACTCTTGCTCGCAAGAGTCGTATGCCACGATCCCAAATAGCACTTTTGATCATGGAAACTTGCACCGAATCCAAAAAATGCTAACAGAATCCTCCTCCTTTCCAGGTTTTTGCGAGTGTCTAACCGGTCTTCCGTACTCAAAGGTCGCCGGTGTTACTACTTCTACCGCTGGGCCTAATTCGTGGCTTGAGGTTTGGACGAGGAGACTATTCCCCTGTCTACCTCATTTGAAATCTTCCATCCCTAAATCCAGCAGCACCGAGCTTGCGGATTCTCACTCCTCTACCCTCCTAATATTACCTTTCCAGCGACAGTGCGAATCTTTGGGAATGCCTTACACGCCCCCATCCCACCGCTCTCCTGCCTCCTCAACCACCCCTTCTCCTGACGTCAGTCGAAGATCATCCTTCACCCTGCAAAGCCCTGCTTCACCGAGACCTACCTTACCCAGGTCTGCCTCTTATCTCACTAGGCACCGGAGGGCATCTTCGGTTGGGAGTGCAACTCCAGTTGCATCACCTTCAGCCGTACATGGTCCTACTCCGGAAACTAGCCCTCCGGGGACCTCGGATAATCTGAAGGGTATGGTAGCCTCCCGCGGGATTCCAGTCAGGCAATCCCCACCCCCAGTCGCTGATGTGCAGGCGATGCCCCCGGGGGCTATCATTTCCCCCCCAGAATCGGCTAGTGAGGATGAAGGAGCTGCTGAGTTGCAGAATCGGGGACGGCAGATTGAAAATATGAAGGAACTGAAGGAGGCTATCAGCTCGATACCGCAGCACCGCTCGACGTCGCCGATCAGATCTTCGCCAGGTGATCTTCTTTTGTCACCGTCACAAGTTAAGGAACTAACCGGGGAATCGCGCCAAGCACTTCTTACTGCTACTCTACCTGCTCTTAACACTGGACTTAGCACCGGAGCCCGTAAGATCTCTCACTCGAGATCGAACACGGATTCCCATATCTATATGTCCAAGTCAACAGAGGAGTCTATAAGTACGTCTGAGGAAGGCTCCGAGCAAGATGAACCGTTTAGGAAGCCTCAAATGGTACGAAAGAAGTCGGGTGAGTTAGTCCGACCGGCGTTACGACCGCATAGAAGGCCATCCAGCATGCCTGGAACGCCGACGTTTTCGAAAGCTGTTCACTTCGACTCGCATCTCGAACATGTACGTCACTTCTTGCAAGTTGACCGGCCACTCGCAGTCAGTGCCGGTACTTCTCCGGCGGATAACTACGAAAGCGACAGCGAATACCCGTTCGGAGTCAGCGAGAAGAAGAGCGCGCGGCCGGCATCGTTTGAATGGGAACTTGTCGTGCACAACTTTCCTGTGGAGACTCCGATACGCAAGGCACTTCCTGTCCGGTTGGAAAGAGTATGGATGTCACCCGACCAGAAGTCTCTAATAGGGTCGATAGCCGTAGCCAACCTGGCTTTTCATAAGTCGGTAGTATGCAGATTTACGTTTGACTACTGGAAAACGACTTCCGAAGTGGCCGCCGAGTTCCACCACGAGATTCGACCACGCGACACTGAACCCGGTCACGATCGATTTCAGTTCAGTCTTAAGTTGTCCGATTTCGCTAATCTTGAAGCTAAGACGTTGTTCTTTTGTATTAGATACACCGTCAACGGTATCGAGTATTGGGATAGCAATGACGGCGTCAACTTCCAGGTTGATTTCCGTAAGAAGACGGTTGCTGCAAATGGCAAGAAGGGCGGTCAATCCGCATCTTCTCGCCCTGCCAACGGTCTACCACGCAGCACTCGCCGAGCTAATCCCTCGACAGCGGCCCGTCCAAAGTCTATGCCTCCTGGTGCGTTGGATGATTTCGGGCACGACGACGATGATGATGAGAAGTTTCTCAATTTCGATAAACCCCTCCATGAAGTGCTTGGAGAGTCTGGGCCTGCTGGCCTACGGCTCAAGGGTTCGAAATCGACGAGTAGTCTGCCTAGTGACAACTTGTCGACTCGGCTATCAGCTCCGAGTGGACAGGCTTTTGCCAATCGGTACGACTTCGGGGCTTCGCTCACTGCCGCCAAACAGGCACACCGCGAATCTAGCCAACGGAATGATGGCTTATACATGAAGCCCAATAAGAGAGCTTCGTTCAACGCCGTCCCCGCTGCCCAGGTACCCAAGTCATCTCAGCCCAACCGAGCCCCGCCCGCGTCTTCATCTGCCCCATCAGGACCGAAAGTTTCCAACAATGGTTCTTCCTCGACCAGCATAGCGTCGGCTTCGTACGAAGAGATCCTCAACAAATACTGCTTTGTACGTACACCTGGTAATATCCTGGCCTCGCATCGAAACGAGAACCACGCCCGAAGACACCAAGTTTCGTAACGTTTAGACTAACTTTTCTATTTAATATAGTTCAACGGTTCAAAGCAATCCAGTCCTCAGATGAGAGATGGAACCTCGCGCAGTGGTCGGTATGATGGGATGGACGATTTGTTAATTAATGGGTCGAACAGTACCGACTCGAGTTCGAACGGTAGCCCAAATATTACTGATCAGTCGTATCATCATCACCACAGCGCGATACATCATTCTCTACGACAGAGCCTTAACCCGTACTTTGGTACTGGATACATGTCAACAGCTATTGGCGCTTCACCGGCAGAATCCCCGCTGTCGCAGCAGAGTCTTAGCCCGACTAGTTCCAGTACCCCTACGGGTAAGGTGACGTCCCCAGGTTCAATGACTGGCTTCCTTCCCCTTGCTGGTACGTCACCATTCAAGTTTCCCGCCGACCCAACTCCATTCCTCGCCCAGGGTGCTCAGAGTTCCCAGAGTTCCCAAGCTCGTTTTCCATTTTTGTCAGACGCTCATACTGCGACAGCAATAAGAGGTTAAATGATTGAATCTGTATGGGACCCAGCATGGTCCCGTCGAAGGCAACCCCCATCATGAGTCTTAGGAAGACTGCAAGTCTTCGCAGATATTCCCCTTCGAATATCGATTTAGACGATCTCCGACGTGTCTACTGGAACTGGAGATTGCAATTTCCCAGCGGCACTCGGATTGATGTTGATAACGCGCAACGATCGTCTTGTGTTTTACATTTTTTATATTACGACTTAACATTTTCTCGGTATATACGATGCATTTTCTTTTAAGGTACGGCGTTTCAGGTCTAGCATCAAGGCGTTTGTGTGTGTATATGTGGCTTTTCATGATACCACCAAGTACACGGGGCGGTTGCAAAAAATTGGCTACGTGCCTTTGGAAGCTGGCCGACGTTCACGGCTGATGATTTTTTTCGTCGTGGAACGTACGGCTATGATAGGAAAGAAGGTTGGGACCTAATGCATAATTCTTCTATACCGCTACCTGGCACCCATACCGGTGTCATTCCCACCTCGGCGGTAATGCGGAGAGAACCGATAAGGTCAAGAAGGTAAAAGGAGAGGTGGAGTGGGCTTCTGAGAATGAAGCGTTGCTATCACAGCACATTAGGTCAAAAATGAATTCACGTTTGCGACAGGGTAGAGAGGGGGGGTTGTGGCTAGGGTTGGAATAAGGTATATTGCTATAAAACAGCAATTAAATACGTTAGATTTCGCCTTGTGAACCGTTGGTTTCCTAAGCGACATCGTGTCGAGTGCGTCGTAGCTTTGGCGTATTAGTGTTCGGCTGTGCTCGAGCTAGGATATTCATCCTGTGGCGCGCATAGCTGTCGACGTCTTTAGCTATTGGATCGTACCGACTTGTACTATCTTAATAAGGAAAATGGGTTGGAGATGATGTTAGTTTGGGGTTTAAGGATACTGGATCGGCTGTACAGATGAGTAAACGGATATACGAATAGGTTACGTGGGAGTATTCGGTTGGCTAGCCCGGTAGCCTAACAGTTCGGGACAGATAAAAACTAGGATACCTCGGAATAGAATTTTGGCTACCTCATATCACTTTATTCCGTGTTTTGTGTTGTATCGTGTAGTTCTAGATTGAGTCTATCATCCATCCTTCGTCGAAATCTAATATATTGTAAGATGTGTTAGGTGGTATTCCAACGTTAGCTGGCGAATGCTTTTTCCTTATGTTACATCTTAGGCTCACGTTAGGTTGTCTGGGTCTGATGGAAAGACGAGTCTAGTTGTAAGAGGAAAAAAGCTGTATGGTTTGATTATTCTCATCGAGATCGGTCCATGCTAACACTTCACCAGAATCCAAACCACCAAAGGTTGAGAGACCCCCATAGCAGCAAAGGGGGAAAATACGACTGACAGGACAATTCATCGATAAGCTTAATGCTTCTCTTTCTTAGAAAATGCTTTTTGGTGAAGAGAAGCCGGCAGAGGCGGGATCAAGAAATGCCAACGTATAGTATTCTATAGGTATCTGGAAGTATAAAGTAGTTGTTTATAGCTCGGTAGTTATAGACATATGCTAACCTATCTACTCGCTCGGTACATACCCCTTTGGCGGATGCTGTCCATCTGGAGTCTCTAGGCTCGAAGAATAGTACACCGACGCTGAATTCCCCTCCCACGCTTCCTTGATACTAGGCAGTATGGTACGGTTGTGCAAGTCGCTCGCATCGACCAAGTTCGGCGCCGGGTATCGCTTGTTGCCGCCCTCATCATTCAACGGACCAGCGTACGAGTAGTTAAAATACATGTCTGAAAGCGAAATATCGCCGTTCCAAGAGCGTACGGTATCCCCTGTCTTCTCGGCGACGAATTTGAATACGTTCGCGCCGACGTCGAAGCGCCCGAGCGTATGTAGGTCCCAGTTTGCTTCGGCGGTCGCGATCTCGCTATAGTGGTTGTAATATGAGTCGTCCGTGGTGCCAACTAAATCGGCAGGCACGGCGTCGCCAATTAGGATGGCTAGGATACGGTTTTGGATCGAGTAGGTCTCGTTCTCGTCGAAAGTAATTACTACCAAGGTGTTTTGCATGAAGCGCTTGTCGGAGAGGAGGGGCTCCAGGAAGGTCCGGGTCCAGGTCCCGGAGACGGTCACGTCGGTATCGTGGCCGTCGCTTGTCATGTTGGGAGTGATGAACATCCATTGCGGGAGAGTCTCGTTCTCGAGGTCTTGGTAGAATGCTATGAGGCCCAGTTAGTAAGAGGTATGTATAGGTATCCTTAAGAATCATCATAAGGTAATCATACTGGTCAGGTTCTTGATGACGGCCAGACGGTCGATCAGGCGAGCATTTGCGTCATAACTGACGGCCGGGTTGTGCTTCCGGACGTAGTCGTTTTTGCCGTTTTTCTGGTTGATATACGCGATGCCTTCGAAGCCGCTGTACGGCATGTCTTCCTGATACTCGCCCCATGAAATACCCTTGTCCTCGAGTAGGTCGATAATGGTGGAAACATTCTTGTCGACTTGCGTGAAGTCATCGTGCTGCATCCCGAAATAGTCACCGCCGACAGCAGCGATGTAATTCGGCTGCGAGGGGTGCGTCACTGCGTGGTAGTTAGAGAGCGTTATGCCTCTCTTGGCTAACCATGCTAAGTTTGCTATTGATCGTTTAGTTATCATTTCTCGGATTTTATTCTGTCTTTCTGGCTAAGTGACTTACGATCACCCAATGCCATATCGTAGTCGGTATTCTCCAACCATATGATGGCGAGTCGGTCAAAGGCCTTTCCCTTAACATTGCTAGTAGGGCTGAGGGTTATCGCCGTAGCTCTAGCCTTCTCAACATCGCTAGTTGCTGTCGCAGTGTACGTATTTTCTGCTTGAGCGGCAACGTTGGTCGCGAAGATGACAGCCGGGAGAATGAGAGGGTGCATGATGTCGAACTCACGCTGATTACGACGCAATGAGCATAGAGATCAAGCAAGCGGCCGAGAATTATCAGACTCTTTCACTACGACGACACGGCGAGGTCGTTACCTTTGAATAAGAGACTGGAAGTCTACATACGACACCGCCGCCGCGACGAGAAGTTTTTGAACCGGCAGTGCACCAGGTATCGCTAACACATGGGCGCGGGTCGTTATAGCTATTGGAGGATACCAGGATTTATGAGTGGAGAGACCGAATTCCTTTCACCGGGGTATGGTTACATTCATTTTTTCTATTTTGGAAGGTGACCTGAAAGGGTTACCTATATGTAGAAAGCCTGAAATTCCCATCTAGATGTTAATGTCATATAATAGTCTACTACTGTATTTGTGAACCTCTGTTTACTTCTATCCAAACGAGAAGTTTGAATATTACTACCTGGGTAGGTACCTTGTATGAGTTCTAGTCTTCTGGGTACTTGATCACCAAAAATAGCCAGATCGGCAAGGGTCAGGCGACCATCACGATCAGTTGTCGATCTCTTCTAGAAGCCAGAGGTAGGTTTAGTATGTATGTGTCATATATATATATTCTATAAAGATGGAGATATGCTGAAGATCATTTCATATATATCGTGAGAGATTCCAGGACTAACCCAAGTTTATCGTGTATTTGGTATGATACGTTCAAATGGTATGTATGTATAAACAAGCAGGCCGAGCACGTGGAGTCTTGAATGGCCAAGCATTGGATATGAACCCCCCTGTCGTCTCCCCTCCCAAAAAAGAAACAGCTGACAATGCATTGCACTTTATTGGTACGTTACTGAATTACCAATCCCGATAGCTAAACGTTCTGCTTACTCCCTTCTCAATGATTGGTCTCCCTTATCCTTACCTTCTGCTTCTTCGAACTTGAGCTAGACTGTAGCTACTTTCCAAACTCGGTCAATATATAGTTAGTTAGTTACACTACTTAGAACTTAAGTCTAGGTAATACTTACCTACATATTTACCTAGGTAGGTAGGTAGATATATGCAACTCATATTTCAGAGGACTTGTAAGTCAAGTAGGCGCTGCTAATATAATTATTGACTTCCAAGATTACGATAGGTTGACACAATCACTTGCATGCAACTCTATCTTCAACTCTGAATAGCCGGCAAGATCAAATATTATCCCAACTAGCATAGCATCACTAGCATTACTCTTAAGTCACGTCGTCTATAGTTTAAATCAACATGCAACTTACCGATATTAAAGCATTCTTCGTCAGTTTAGGTCGCCAACGCCAACAGAGCCAAAAGACCTTACAGGCCTATTCCACCTTGGCCACAAATCCAGAAAATACCATCGACATTCCGATGAGTACTGAAAGCATAAGTGATGATTCTAGCCTTGACATCCCCCAGACGGATTACCAGCGGAATCTATCTCTAGGTCGCCTTCCTGAGTTTCTCTCCCACTTCACCTTGGGCTTTGCAGATGGCCTCACGGTTCCATTCGCGCTGACGGCAGGATTATCGTCCCTAGGGTACACTAAGACAGTCATCTACGCCGGGATGGCCGAAATTTGTGCTGGGTGCATCAGCATGGGCATCAGTGGATATCTTGCGGCGAAGGGGGAAACAGCTATGAAAAGCCGAAATCACGACGAGGGACTTGAGTTGACTGGACGAGATAGTATCCAAGAATATCTCGCTCCCTTAGAACTCCCGTCTCATCTTCTCCAATACGTAAAGGCTCATATTGACTATAATCCTGCTGTGTCGCGGCGGCTGCTGTGCCACTTGAACTCGACTGCCGATGGTTTTACAAGTAAGACTAAGGGGTTCCCGCCTGCGGTGGTCGGACTGTCAGTATCCGTCGGTTACATGCTCGGTGGTCTGCTGCCTCTGTTCCCGTACTTCTTTGTCAGTCAAGTTGCTGATGGTCTGCGTTGGAGCTTCGCTGTCTGCGTTTTGGCCTTGTTCGTATTTGGGTTTGCCAAGGAATATCTTCTCCACAACGAGTCCGTTGGCAATAATTGGCGGTATGGAGGTACGAAAAGAGGCCCTGTCGTGTGGGAAAGGATGAAAAAAGGCTGCTGGGAAGGGATATGGATGGTCGTCATGGGAGGTATTGCCGCCGTTGCTGCCGTTCTATGCGTCAAGCTCTTCGAGGGTTTTGTTGTGTAAACTATAGCACCGTCCTCCAACACATCTTGTATAGCTCCAGGATTATTGCCCTCCCCTAAGTTGTCTGGTGCACAGCCCGAACTATAGGAATGACAGGTAGTCATTTATTCCATTGAGAGTGAAGTATCCTGAAGGATCTTATGACCCGTCACCCCCTTTGCTAGAGAGACTTTCATGAGAGTAACGAGCCTTCGGAATGGAAGCCCTTTCCGAGGAGAAAGTTGAAACTTGAAGTTTGAAGAACTATTGCATGACGCCTGGAGGAAATCCGCCACGACCCATCATCGGGGGAGGTCCTCCTCGACCCGGTAACCCCTGTCCCATCATCGGCGGAGGCCCGCCGCGGCCTGGTGGGAAGTTCATGCCAGGATGAGGCGGCGGCGGCACTTGTCCCATTCCAACTTCGGGCCCTTGTGCCGGCCATTGCCCGGCGACAGGTGGTGGCATTCCTGGCATTGGCCTTTCGGGCACAGGCGCTTGTTGGTTCCATTGGTCGTCAGCTATCTCGCTTGCTGCTGATCCGACACTTGCGTCGTTCTGAGATGAAGCGTTTGAAGCTCCTGAACTGCTAGAGCTGCCTTTGCTTGTATAACTCGATCCCTGTCGCCGACTTGAGCGCTTTGAGTTACGACCTTTAGGACCGCCTAAAGGAATAGTAATTAGTTCTATCTATAAATATATATTCATACTATGAAGACAAATTCAACTGACCCTGCCGACAAAAAAACCAAAAGACTAGCATTAACACTAATAATACCACGACACCACTGAGGATAGGACCGACATTTTGATTGCTCGTTGAACTCGAATTTGGCGCAGGAACAACGATGGCCGGAGATTCAGTCGGGTCAGAGCCTGTTCCCAAAGTCCACGTCGTAACAAACGTTGAAGCAGGCCAAACGATCGTCTGTGTGCGAACTGACATGTCTTCAGTTTGCTGCGGATCTTTTGCAACCGTGCTCCCCTGATTTTCCATGGCGTTTGACTTTACCTTTCTTGGGTGTTCGAAATCCAGGCGATGATGTACTGGACCATAACTACGGATATAGGTTTAGAAGTACCGTCTCGATTAGTGTAACTGAGTGTCGCGTTTGTCGCGAGGTACGAAACCGGTTTTGGTGTCGACTAGTAGATCGTGTGATGCCATATCGTCAATCTGTTTCGATTTCCCGAGACATGTCTGCGTATCGGGAGGCATCACGTAGCCTACACTTGGTCACTACTTGGCTCTGGCGTATGCGCACCTGATTAATAGCTCTATTAGAGTTGCGATCTTCTCTATCCCTACTATTGAGATGTCCGGAATAGTTTATTTTCCCACATTTATCGATGAGCAAGCTGCAACGTCCCGACGACCCCTTAAAGCCTCGATAAGCCCATTTATGCGTATCCAGGAGCTACAGCATTGCGTGCCTTTGCCGATATATGAGTTGGTGCAAATGAACTGTAATATTCTACGATGGCGATGAAGAAAATATGCCGCGAGGCGCTGCAAACAACCGTATGCTGGCGTCTCCGGCCGCATAAGCCTCGCTTGCCAACATGAGTCTGTTTGATTACCTCCAAGTGATCTTTCATTGGGATTCTATGTCGTTCCGGCTTCGCGCCACCTTTTTGGCCCGATGCGACTTGCCGGCCGTCTCGAGACATAAGGACTCAGCTAAATTACCTCGGCCTGATCCTGCAGGTAGCCAGATCTCGGGGGCGTGAGCGCACCATATCCCGGACCGATATTCACTTGAAGTCTACGAATTCCATCACTGATCACAGCAGTCGGTAGTTCAAATCAATAACCTCGTTCTATGAAAGCCTCGACGCTCGTGCCCTGAGGGTTAGCCGGGTTATTGGTGAACGGGGGGACTACTACTAGTTTTTTACACGGCCCCTAGGTAGTCCCTCGGACAGAACACCTGTACGACTATTTACACAAATTTCCTACGCGATATGTAGCCTTTGATATATATGTCTTTCTAATCACCCCGCCCGTGGCTTGCGAACTATTAAACATGGAGACTTGTGGGCGTTGCATTGCAGTCGGGTATTTAAGCAACTTTTAGCTACAGATCCGATATCTCGATCGAACCACTTCCTAGCACCAGTTAGATTGCCCGGGGGTATCTAGGAGTGCTTGGCTGTTATGTATGATAACTGATAATAGAAATATAAGGCTGCCTAAGGAGGTGGTTACGAGATCATACAAGCTAGAGGGTTCTTATTAACGCATTCAGCGCCCAATTTTAGACACTTATCCTTGTTCGAATTTTGGAAACTCATATTATATATGGCTTGTGTTTGGTTTGATAACTTTGCTCGCCCTTACCATATGTTAGTAGTCTTTGAGAACTCCTTTCCAATACATTAGAGATAGCTGTTATGTTGGAACATATATGTGTTATTGATGTCGTAAGAATTAGGTCGTGGTAGGAGTCTTTAGAGATAAGCCAACAATTTAATGACGACCTGTTGTGGCATAGTGATGCCGCACTTATTATAATATAGGAAAGAATAGGAGAATAGGAGTCCGTGTTGTCAACTGGAACGGTTTCATGGAAATTTCTCCCGACAATCTTACGTGCATAAGAATAATCAGGCAGAAATATTATCTGAAAATAGATGCTAGAGTTTCATTTCTCCCGATCCAATAACAGACTAGTTGTACGGAACTACCCCTTCGGTTACATCCTAAACAATTGGGTCTAGCATATCCTACGTGTTGGCAGATGACGAGAAGCTACTTGGTCGTTATAACGGCCGCATATATATGAATGAAAAGAAGATAAGTGGTCTTAACATCTTTAGAAAGTCTTGGTATAGTTTACAAAGGTTCGAGCGAGTTCCTAGGTAGGTCAGTTTATGCACAAGAGACGGTATCCGAAGTACAATTAACTGTAAGTAATCAGCGTAGAATAATAACTTATATTGAATGAATATCTGCTGTTACTATTAATGTAATTGTAAGAATCCTATAGAATATGATATTACCTAGGTACCTTTGCATCAGACACTCTTAGGTTCGCCGATCTAAATAGTGAAGCCTAGCTTGGGCACACCACTCCGGGCCAAAAATAGACGAGACTAGATCAAAGCACCTACTAAGAACAAGAATATACCTTGTTGCTTACGTCGACTACCACATACTTACTAGATTAGGTATATACTCGACAGCTACTATACAGCCAATAATTATCCAGGAATTTCACGGCCGGATGCCTTCAGAGTTTAGGTCATACATCTCGCAACGGTGGCACTTCTCGGAAATAAAGTGAGTACTCGTCTCTACGACGCACTGCCGCGCCCAGCAGGGACCACTATGGTCATTGCGCTTGATGCGGATGACCTTGTCATGGATGTGGCCGTAATGTGTTTCGATGACAGGATGCCCACATGAATAAACAATGTCGAATTTCCAGCAGTGCTGATCGTCTCCAGTAGGAATCGTGAGGATTATACCGTCTACTTGAAATTCGGAAGTCATGATGATATTTTGCGATGATACTTGCGTAAGGAATAGTTATAGGAAGACCAACTTGAGAATACGAACTATCGGACTTACTGGAGAAGATTCGGCCAAGGCTCAAGCTCAAGTTCACAGTCTAATACGTTAGTTAATCTGAGACCTTAGTGCCAGCTGATGATGGATCGAGATAAATAGCTGCGGCTGATTTAGAGTAGGAATTTCGATCCTGGCTGTTAAATACTTGTACTTATTTAAGACGGGGATCGCAAAACAAGGCCCGAATATTTTATACAAAGCTTAATGAAGATACATAATAAGCTTCTTAACGTAGTATAAACATAAGTTGTCTTTGTGATATCGAGACAATACTCATGTATTGTTGGCAAGTCGGAGTACTTAGGTAGGTAAATAAAGAGCGATTAGGCTGAACAAAGACGGGGGAATATTAGCATTATAATGATATTGAAATTGAAAAAAAAAGAAGAAGTACATAAAATGAAGAACTACCTACATGTACATACGTACAGGTAGCGCCGGCTCTTCCGTCAATAAACTAACGGGCAGCTGTATGTCAGATATCGGGGATATCTCGTAGGCTGAAAAAAAGGTACATCGTAATGTACTAATGTACGATATCCCTGTCCAATTTAAATGCCATGTGAATTTGCTTCTTAGTATGTACATATGTAGCAATTTAGAACCAATTAAATTATCGCATCTTCAAACTTTAATTCCACTCGATCCAGGCAGCAGCATTTTAAACCTTGTCTATCGCCATCGCCATTGCCATTGCTCGACTTTAACTGCTCAAAGTATTTGGCTGCTTAGCTGTTTGGCATTCGCGGACATTCACAGCCCTCCGACTCCAAAACTTTCCATAGCAGCCAAACGTAAAGAAGCAAGCATAAGCTACTTGAAGCAAGATTCGTCTAACCCGGGTTGAACTAGTCATCATACCTTGCCTATTACCTATCTTGCCTCTCAATGGATCCGCATACACATGTGCCTATGGCCTAGGCACCGAAATTATTTTTACGTTGCGCTTTTTCGCGGGGCTCAAGGCAGCTGAATTACTTCTTCGTCTAGTCCGTCATACGACGGGGGAGCTTCCTGATGTTGGATGATGCGAGGAGTCTCGCCTTTGTATGCCTAGCCGTTTTCACACACATGCGGATGCGTACATACTAAATTTTGTTGACGCTTCTCGTTTGAATCACCAGCGGTTCAAGTAGTATTGGGATTCCCTCTCGGTTCTCAATTTAACTCACGCTGCTCTATCGAATATATACCTATTTACGTACCTATCTACCTATCTACCTACTAAGGTACATATTTATACATGCGTATTAAATTTCTTCTACCGCCTAAGGTTCCTACAGACCCGTAATTAACTAGACTTGTCAATGTTGTGCTGAGGAGAGACGACGGAAATTCGAATCGCTCAGGCTGACGTTATATTATCTACTATCGACCATCTACTCCCGAGAGAGATATTTCTATATGTCTACATCGTCGGTTCTACTCCGCGAAATAATCAACTTCAAAATCCGAGAGGTTCGAATTTATATACTATAGATTGTTGTATCTACATCTATATCAATATCAATAATCAGTCACCATGGAGTCCTTTCTACCCCGCGGCGGCTTCCAGCTGCCTTTCCAACGTCGACTTAGTAGGCTATACAATGACACCAAAAAGTCATCCGACTTCGTCAAGGAATCGGCCCCGAGTCCTGATGACCCCGATATCAAAGCTCTGCATCGCAAGCTGCGAATACAAAAGGACCGCTTGGTAAGCTGGGGCTTAGAATGGTCCGATCCGAACCAGGCTGCAGAGATTGACGAATCACTATCTAAAGCGGGCCTGAGTGATCTCGTAGGTAGTATAATGGCTACTATCAAAGATATACTTGCGGAAGCCGAACCTCTGTGGCTTGCTTCGAGACAGGCTGTTGGAAGCGAGAAGAAGTCGGAAAAGGGGATAGGTGACCGAAAGACTCCTTTAGTAGTTTGGGATAAGAAGAGGTTCGAGGACCTCGTCAAGGATTTAACCGCATCTATCGATACACTCTGTGATCTTTCTCGAACGCGATCTTCTGCGGCTGTATCGCGGGTTGCAGGTCAATTTAAACCTATCGCTTCGACCGAAGACCTACGGCCTTACAGTTCTACGAGGATTCGAACACCTCAACAAATTGATCTGCAAGCTCTCACAAATTTAAGATCGATGCAACCTGCATCCGTCTCGGAGACGGAGATGACACGAGATCGACCTCAAGAGATATTTTTTATGGGCAGGCAGGCCCACGGGGAACCGAGTCATCGGCAGGGACCGCAGCCTTGGTCTCCCCTCCTCGTTGAATATGCACCATTCGATCCGATATACTCGGCCACCGGTATCATGCCCGACATGTCTCGGTTTGAGAAGCTAAGTGCCGGCCTCCAGACGGATTCTCAAAGGTCTCCTGGTTCGTGGATCGGTCTTCCTCTCCTTTTAGGATATCATGAGGATATGAGACAATCTAGGTTGGCACTGATCTATCAGTTTCCACCTGGTTTCAATCCGGTGACTTTCGAAAACTTTACCCAGAATCCTCTCGATAACTTGTGTACGCTGAAGGAGCTTCTAAACCGACCGGATTTCGAACCGATGTTGGAAGCCAAGTTCCGCCTTGCCCATAATTTGGTCAATACGGTATTTGATATGCACGCGAGGGGAATTACCCACGGAAATCTTAGCGCGTCTGCCATATCTTTCTGCAATACTACCGGAAACGATCCTGATTTACCTATGGGCGAGGTAGATGTCAGGAGACCTCTAGTATCCTCTTTTGATATATTTCCCGAGGAAGATGCACGTAATTCGCCCCCCTCTACCTTTTTATTACATCGTCATCCGCTCGATCCCCGAACAACCACTCAATCACCCCTTTCTTCAAAGAGCGATACTAGGACATTAGACCTATACTCGCTAGCCATGATGCTTGTATCTATCGGCCTCTGGACTCAACTCGAGAATCTCGTTCCGGACCAAGCGTCGCCTAGCATATCAGAGTCCGTTCTGAGACAACTGGCGATACGTTGCGGCACGCCGTATATGAAAGCTGTCCAGGCATGTTGGAATGCGGTTGACCAAGAGCTTTCTCATCCTGGTTCTACCGAAGAGATTTTAAGCCAAGTGCAAATCAGAGCTAGCCGCTATCTAGAAGCTTGTTGCATCTTAGACGGAATAAGTGGATTGGATGAACGAATAAGCGAAGACCCTGATAGGTTTTCGGGAAGAGAAGGAATAGTGGCTGAGTCTTTAGCAGGGCCGTCTGTAAGCGCTCAACCGACTCACGGATCAAGTCCCCAAGTACCATCACAGCTGGAGCGAACAGGAAGTGATATCAAACAACCTCCTGAGCGTAAGCTAAGTTCTTCTCCTATAGTTGGAGCCATTATGCTGACATACCAGTAGACGAAAAGCCTCTCGAGAGTACATCAGACCGTCCAAAGGATACCCGACCCAAGCTTCGACTATATCCTCAAGTATCGCTATCAAGCGAGACGATTGAACAATGGCATAGCACCCTCATGCCTCAAATTAACCTAGCCTTACGGCACTTTTATCGCAAAAATCCAGAGTCTGTCGAGATCTCATTGGAGTCTATTGGCGAGTCGCCCCAGAAGACCAAGCCGACGGTATTAGTTATCTGCACTTCAGTGAGCAAGGTCCGAGCTATATTGAAGAAGAAACTTGGTGTGTTTTTTGATGGGACGACAGAATTCGGGCTAAAAGTTTGTCGTGGATCTATGGCACGCTCTAGGAAAGGACCCACGAGGAGTATGGCCAAGAGCCAGCATTCAATCTCTTCCGATAGAAATAACAACGAAAGTGAAGGTGACGAAGATGACTCTGAAGCCGCTAACCCAGGATATCAAGAAAGACCGCAAAACGGCGCAAGCATTGGCGCGTGGGTAGGCGATAAGCATCTCCCCCCTGTCAGTTTCGGGGGCTTAATCATCGTCGACGATAAGCCATACGGGATGACAGTTCACCATATGTTAGATGACCCAGACCCGACTGGTCAGTTGGATCCTTCTTATCAGACCGAGCCTAAGCGCGCCAACGCATCTCCTCGCAGCAATACGGCGGTATACCAAGCAGAAGGCGAGTCATCGGTGGAAGATAGCAGCGACGAATTTGCAGGAGAGTTCTCGGATTCCGAATCTGAATTATCTCTCACCGATATTACTAGTGACGATGAGGAAAGCGATGAGGAAGAAGAGTTCACCGAGCTTGGAGATATCCCAGGCGTAGAGCCCGGCTGCGGAGATGGTATGTAGGGTTCCTTCCCAAGTATGCGCCCCGGCCCCTTACGAGAATAACACGGTTATTTCCCTATTACTACGTGCTTGAAGTTTTCTCAAAAGTTCACCGGCCTATGACTAAATATGTTGTGTATAGGATATATAGTCACACAGCCTGCCTTTGACGACGTACCGGAAGGGTTCTATCCCTCAGAGGATACGATGGATGAGGTATGTTGGTATACTTGATACGCTGTAGCTTTGAAGTTACACACAACTGCTGTTAAGACATGCATAAAACTGATTTATTGCTTGCTAGGACCATCTCGACACATATAGGCTTGGTGAGATGTACGCCTCATCTGGGATACGTAGACGTAATGAGAACGGGCTTGTTCACGAGATTGATTGGGCTCTATTCGATTTCCAGGATGAGAGGCTACCCCCGGATAATCTCATTCCTCGTGCTGCATCCAGCAGTTTCCGCTCTACGACTTCAATAGGGAACATTCACCCAACAGAAGTTGTTCCAGCAAAGTCTCTGCCAGGGCTGGAGGTTCAATGCATTGCACGCACAAGCGGATTACAAGTAAGTGTTTGGTGTCGACTTTAGTCATAATTTTTTAAGTCTGGAAACATTATTAGCTAACGGTATTTGGATTTGAATAGATGGGTCAGATTTTACCGGCTTTGACTTCTGTCAAGATTTATGGTCGATCATCTCCTAGCCATACCTATCAAGTAAGCGGTAGATGCTCGACAGTCCGGGGATACCCAATTCCCGCTACCGAAGACCCGCCTAAAGTATATCCTCGGACTAGTCTACCGCTAGGTATTCCGGGTGATTCGGGCGCTTGGATAGTTGATCGACCACACGGTCGCCTCTGCGGACACGTCCTTGCGTGGAGTGGGCGTAAAAAGGTTGCTTATATATGTCCTATGGAAGTGCTCCTCCTCGACATCGCAGAAACCTTGGAAGCGCGTGACGTACGGCTCCCAGGCGGCAAAGCCATAATTAACTTTGCCGGACATGAGACAGCTGAAGTTTCCGACCTAGACGACTATAGCGAGCGAGATAGCATTGCGGAGGAAGAAGAAGAAGAAGAGGATGTCCCCCCACTACGCGATATCCGCAAAGCAGGGGCTGGCTCCCAAATAGGAGGTGCCGGCGAGTTAAAAGCATCAAAAAGGCTCTCCGCTATCAAGCGTCAACAGCTCTACGGCCACCATGACGAGGGCAGCAGCGCTCTAGACGCCGATATGGATAAGATGCACATATGAGTGTACGGACGAATATGCGGAGTACCTAAGGAGTTAAATGGGACAGGACTAGATGATACTATATGAGATGAGACGATGAGATACCCTCGGATATCGATCAGATGCACGAATACACTTTGATTTAGTAATAGTCGTCTTGAATTATTTAACTAGGTGCTTTGCCAAACAGTAAGGAAGTTGAGTTTATGACGCCTCTATCTATTGACATCGGTAATACTGGATAGGTGATAGATATAGTATTACCGACTACTCAGGAAATATTTGTGAAGCGCCATAAACTTGGGTGATGTTCAATGATCACTGGGTTAACCATGGCAATGAATCTAAAGAGGTCATTTCTAATTAAATTTTTTAATTAATGCAAATAATTGTAAGGCAATAATGCAATTCGCCATCCATTAAGGGGTATCTACTTATGATGTAGGGGAGTAAAAACGCCCACTTCTAACCATACTTTATGGCCGCCCCAGATATCTCGTGCCACGGCCAAAGATATCATGAGAGTAGGAAACCTTGCTTCGCGTAATAAATTCGTCGAGAAGAATAAAAGCATGCATACCACCTAATCATTTCCATGTCATCGAAGCCTTAAACCGTCAACATTACGCCTAGAACAATCATCAAGCCAATCGTGAGCATGCCACTAAAGCCCTGGAACGCCCCTCCCTTACTTGAGACGGCAAAGTTGGGAGTGTGCTCAGATGACGACGGAGTAGACTCGTTCAGCTTGGCAGTCAGCTGATCATCGGAAATCCAGCTGGTCGTGACGCTTGATCCGTTGGTGCAATCGCTAGGCGGAGTAGCAGTTCCCTCGATGAAGTTGACAGCGGAGCACTAAAGTTGTTAAGTTAGCAAGAGTAATAGATGGAGCATCTAGTACTGGTATGGTACGTAGTAGATACTACTTACCTGATATAGAAATCCGTCTACAGCATGAGATACAATACCGAGAAAACCCTTCTTGCCAATAAATTCGCGAGGGATGGTGACTCGGGGATTGCAAAATTTGCCCTGGCCGCTCTGCTGAAAGGTGGGCCAGACTTCGGTCCAGTTGCCTTGTGCGGTGGGGTCGATGTTGATACGATATAACCAGGTACTCTCGGGATGAGTGAGTGTAGTGGCGATGACGTCGCCGCCTACATGGAAATCCGTGGTAGAGACTTTGGTGATATCAGGTGAGTAGCCACCACAGGGATGGTCACCCTCGGCGTCGTCGTTGAATGGACCGATAGTAGGAGGGTGCTCTACGGTGAAGTGACCATTGGTAATGCCCATAAAGAGCAACATTACCGTCGTAATAAGTGACATGAGATACATGGTGTCGGTTGGAGTTGGTTGTAGTTCGTTGGTTTACTGGTAGAAGTATTAGGATCAGATCAGTTTTAGAGAATAGAATCTAGTAGAGTTGTTTGCTAGATCAAGGGTTCAGATCGAGGTTGACAAAAGAGTAAAGAAGGGAATTTGGAATGTGGGAGGAATGTGTGTGAAGAATATGTGGGAGGAGAGAGAAAAGAGACGCGAGACGAATACCTTTTGGTGTAACCTACAATAGGTAAGACGAACTATTGAATGACTGACTGACTGACTACCTTAAGTACCCAGGTAGGTAGGTAGTAAGTGAATCACGTTGTTGAAGAGAGGACAAGAAACGAGACGACCTAGTTGTGATACTGGTAGGTAGAAATTGGAGATGGAAAACGGGAAGATGGGACGAAGTTTGGAATCACCAACTCGGTTGAGAAACGGTAAAGACTGAAGGGCCGCTAATTTATCACTTGTCAGAAATACATACCTATGTATATCGCTACTTCCTTCTTTTCCCACGTACCTGGATGCACTAGAGATAGAAGCCTAGACCTACCTAGATCGAGTTAGGAAGGGCTTTTTAAATTTATAGAATACACAGGGAAGCGTCAGTTTGAGGTGCTTGTGTAACGTTGGGCTTGTATACATGGTAACTTTAGGTAGGTAGGTCAAGTACGACCACTGCTTCAGAACTTATTCCTTCCTACTAGCCAAAAATAAGTCTGAATTATATTTTATTTTATTTTAGCAGCATGTTTCAACTCCAAGAGCAAGATCGTCCCATACCTGTATACTCACCTAGGTACCTAACCTATGTACCCGTTATGTCTGCCAGGTATCTTCGTGTAATAGGTACACATACCGTTATCGTGAACACAAGTACATTAGGTACTCAAATATGATTCAATGACATAATTCATGACTGTATGGTCTTCCAAGTAACGTGAAACAGTAAATATCCCTTCACAACCTCAGATAAGCAAAGAGAAGTCCTTTTTTCCATATCATATTGTTTTATTCTTGCTGTTCCTGTCGTTGATGTGGGGGATCCATGCAAAACACATCTTGGTTCTCGGGGTCTTCTTACAAGGATAAGGATACAGGGGGATAGAGCCGCCAATTACAGGGAGTTTTAATTCAGCCCGGTCCATCTAAGCCCTACCCCACTTCATTCTAAGTGGTTAGTTGTCTCAGCATTTTCCGATTGAGGCTATTTGAGCAAATTGTGGCGGTATTTCAGCACTTTAGCGTGCTTTACAGGCATAAAGAAAGAGCAATTAGGGCGGTTTAGGGCGGTTTAGAGCAGTTTATCTCCCTCATTTTCCACTAGTGCCTCCAGCCCCAAACGTCCTTGATCTAGGTAGATTTCGATACCCGCGCTGCTTGATTATAATTATCATGCAACCTTGAACGTTATCAAGTGCAGTCTAACAGGGCGTCTCATAGACGTATGGCAGAGGCGGAAGAAAATGTAATTTCAACCCTCTTTAGTACTACTTGGACAGACCGCTCTTTATTATGTGTTACTAGAGGTTACTAGCATAGCAAACAAAGATCTATGTTGTGGTTCCTTATTAAACCATGTGAGCTACCTAGGTTATTATAGGTATACGGGTGTAGGTACCTTTAGGTAGGTATTCTTATCAAATTCACGCGCCGCGCCGATGCGATGCCGAGGAAAAGTTGAGCTGTGAAAGTACCTCTTAAGGTACCTTAGCCTAAGCAAGGTAAGCTAATGTTCCATACATGTATAATGCAACTTCCTTCTCGACAAGTTCACCCACCTACCTGGTTTACCTCCCCAATTTGCCTTCCTAATTCAATAGTTGATAGTTGATTATTTTATCTAATCTGATCCAAAATATTCACTGTTTTTCATATTTGTTTTATCCACCGTCATTCATCCCAAACTCCCTTTACCACTTACCTGAGGCCAAGTCACACCTCGACAGCGACAGCGACAACGGACTCGACACAATCGAAAACTTAGAATTACCGTCCTACCTCATACATTTCACGTAACAATCCCTAGGCAACCTTTTCAAAGGGAATTACGTGAATCTCAACACGATACGGAATCTGCAATGTCCAACTGTCTCTTGCGAAGGCTACCGATAGCCCAGGCTTTGTCTACAACTACCTCCTAAGTCTACTGCGCATTGCGCATACTATTAAAATTTTCTTTGATTCATGCCTGCGACATACTTGTTTGATAAAGACTAAGTGGAAGCATCCAAGATGGCAATGGGGAACATGGATATGACGGATATGGATATGGATATGGGGAGCACGTCCCTTGGTGGTGATATCACAACTATCAACAAGGCCTATGCAAGAAGCTACTGGTATTTTATCGCAGCTTCTGTCGTTCTATTCCTCATAATCCGTACCGTCAACTTCACCCTATATAAGTCAAGGTAAGATAATTCCTTTAAATCGCATGCGATATCCTTAGTATGTTACCCTGTTGGACTAAGCCTCATATATAGGTTACGCAGGGCCAGATCACACTCAGTGCGGTTTCCTACGAGGCCTACGAACTTCTTCTCGCAGCTATGGGCGACCCTAACTGCCGTTTGTAGGGAGATGAGCTACCCACAACTTTACGTTTCGATCCGAAACTTGTCATGGCTAACACCGCCACCTATGGGTCATATCATCCTCCTCCTACTCTACTGGGCCGCTATTATTTATATCATGTTTAAAGATGCGGTGATACTAGATATCAATTTCATGGAGAGATTAGGGTATCGCAATGGTTGGGTAACAGTTACGCAGGTGCCTCTCCTCTATCTATTAGCCTCCAGGACCAACGTAATCGCCCTGATCACTGGGACCAGCTACGAGAAGTTAAATTGGCTCCACCGATGGGCAGCCCGGACCATATTGATTACCACGACTATACATGGTTTCTGCTTCTTTGCCGGCTGGGTCGATAGCGGCATAGTCGGCGTCGAACTTAATATGATGAACATGGTCAAATACGGTTTTGGCGCTTGGGGAATTTTACTATGGATGAATATTACATCCTTTAAGCCGTTGCGATCCATAGCATACGAGGTTTTTGTCATCCAGCACATCTTGGCGGCTATTATATTCCTATGGCTTGTCTACGTTCACGTTCCTGTAAGTGCCAGGTATAATGTGTGGTTTGCAGTCGCCGCGCTTTGTTTCGATCGGGCGTTCCGTCTCGGTCTCTTGTTCTGGCAGAACACTAAGTTGCGCCCGGACCGCTCATGCTGTCAAGGCGGACAGTTGATTGGTCATAAGACGCAACTCTCCCAGGTTGGCGAGTCTATAACAGTGCTCACTATAAAGGATGTTCACTTCAAGTGGAGGGCAGGACAGCATCTCTATTTGTGGCTACCTAGAGTAGCACCATTTGAAGCCCACCCGTACACGATTGCTTCTGCTCATCAGACTCCGGAGACGTGTATCTGTAACAGCATTCAATTAGTAATACGGTCTCATTCAGGGTTTTCCAAACGGCTCAGACAATTTGCGGGTAAACAGGAAGCAATGGGAAAGAAGCAGGCTCTCACAGCCTTAATCATAGGCCCGTACGGAAATCCACCTCGATGGGATATTTTCGAAACGCTAGTCCTGATTTCTGCATCGACTGGGGCGTCATATACGCTTCCTATCCTGGAGGACGTGCTCCGCTCTAAGAAAAGAGCATGCACCAAGCGTGTAGACTTTCTTTTAACGGCTAAGCAGGGCGAGGAAGTTAGTTTCTACCACGAACGTCTGCATGAGGCCATGGAAAAGGCGAAGTCGGTAGGTATCGAATTAGTCGTTCATATCGCTGTGACTGGGGATGGGCAACTTGGAACACTAGGTGCCGTGACTTTTTCATCGTCTTCAACTTCCTCAACACATGAGAAGAAAATGTTCGAAGATGTAAAGGTATCGGTTAATGTTGAAGGAATTGTTCAGCCGTTAATGGGTAGGTCGCGTATGAACCTCTCAGAGACAGGCTCCGACTCACATATTCACCACTCAGCGTCAAGACCGGACGTAGCCAAGTTCATCAGGGCGGCTGTTGAGGCTACTGGAGGAGAAACGGGGATTGCGGTATGCGGCGGGCAATCCTTAGTGACTACAGTGAGAACCAGCGTGGCGAAGCTGAGCGACGAACGCGCGGTACATAAAGGCACAGGTGCCCAGGGGATTTACTTGCACGTAGAGGAGTACTGCTTTTGATCGGAGGTTGAGAAACATCTATAGCAGTGAGGACAAGGATTAGAAAATGACTCGACTACGGATGTTACAGCTCATTATACCCATTCGTGCCTACCAAATAGCACTTCACCGTTATTGTACTCTTAGTTACTTCTTGAACTACATAACACACACAATATGTCTTAATTTCAATATGCTACTAGTCTATGACTAAATCCCCGAGTAAACTCATGCTATGTTAATAACTTGCTTATAAACACGATCACATGGAGGCAAAGATGACGAGATGCCTTCTACGTCATAGTACAATATTGAGCATTGAGCATCACCAGTTTAACACCTATAGGTGCGACACAGTATCAATGAAATTATTTAGATGGTCTATGCCTCTATAACCTGGATAATCGTTGGTCCGTATTTCATCTAAGTTAATTATCTAAACCCGAGCAATTTGATATTTTAATTTTATCGCATTCGCTTCCGGTCGTTACGGATACGAACGGAGGTTGTACTGCCGCGCAACTACTGAATGCAATATAACTTCGGTACTACTAGATATACATGAATTACCTATTATTTCGATTTGAAGATAAAATGTAAGACATAATAAATTGAGAAAGGGGAGAATGGAGGTGACTTTCAAGCACGTGGTATTAGGTACCCCTGAATTTCTTAAGATTGGCTTTTCATCTTAAGTTGTTAATGGCATTCAATATTTATTGCCAAGATTATTATCATTAAACACTGCTTCGAGAATTATTCTAACTATAGAAGGAAGTTGACAAGAATACCTAGATAGGTAAGGATGTCATGTCCGGTAGTACGAAGGACGAAGGACGAAGGGGTCAACTACTAACAACTTTCCAGTAAAAGAGAATATCCTGGTATAGTCGATACTAAACCGCATGCCTTAAGTTGCACAACATAAGCTTCGGAATATGGGCGCATCACTACTTTACTCTCACTCTTTTAAGGTGATGAGTACCTCTAATATCGCCCATAGTTATTTGATAATGCTCGGACCCGAACGTGCGCCGATAGTCTGCCCAAGGAACAGACGGTCGCCCAACCGGCTTCCATACTCAAACTCTCCTGCGATACGATAAAGACTGACCAACACTCGGACGGAAGCATGAAGCTTTTTATCCGTTGGTATTGATTAAGATCGGCCTTTTATCATCTCTTAAGCCGACTCAGGTAAGTCTCGGCGAATACGAATCCTACTCCTAGAGGCTAGAAAGTTAATAGCATCTGAAAGCTAAAGAAAAGAGGTGGATGTACGGAAATGTTTCTAACAACCTACATATATCCGAATCTTCGATATAGCCCTTCGTATTTAGACGGCTGCAAGCCTCAACATGCATGTGGCGTTCTTTAGCGAAGCGATAACTACCTACTAGTATTAATCTGAAGTTAAGGACGAACTCAACATATATACCGTCACGAGGTTCCAACCTATGATTGACATCCCGGCCAAACAGATAATATAAAAGATACTAACTATCTAATAATACTATCTAATACTATCTAATACGGGGATCACAAAGGCTTGCACGTGCTATGCTAGCTAGTATTAGCTAGACAATCCCGAAGGCGAATATGTAAAGACGGGGGGCTTACAAGGGGTCACGCATATAAACATTAAATTCGTCATATTTGAGCTGATTTATGACTTATCTAGCTGAAAGATTACCACCAGCTGATTGATCATAGCCGGCATTCCCTGTCAACCCATATCCAAGGGTCTGGTATGTGTGGGAGGTCCCTTGCTTCCAGCCTCATGAGCCATGCACATGCTAATTAATAATACCACCAACCTATATGTCTGTGTCCGTGGCGTATCTAAGCTTTGGGGGACCTCCGAATTTCTCCGGGACTACTGAGCCTCACTCGCCGATTACCCCTGATACACAGACCAGTGGCTTCCGAATAGCATCAACATTGCTCATTGTTCACCTTCTACGCTTTGGCTAATAGTTATAATTACAGCTCCATAGTGTACGCCGAAGACATGAAAGGTGAAGAAATTTAACAAAATATAGCCCTACTAGTATTCAATACCTCCTATTACGCTAACAGTAGTCTTTGGCCTCGAATACCCTAATGTCATATCTGTTCTGAACATATCAAGGGGGTAGTCTACGTGGTCCTATCGATATCACGACTCGTGAAACACACTTCGGCATTGCGTGTCCATATTATGTGCCCAGATGATCGTCAATGAATCTAAGCCAACTAAGACTCGCCTTTAGCTCGTCTCGTTAGCCAAAGTGTATTCTAATATTGGGGAATGGTATACTAGCAAGTAATGAGACTACACAAGTGCTAATTTTGAATGAGACCACACCATTCGAGGTAAAGTCGGTGGTGTTGCAACTTTTACTACTTATGTATAATCACTAGTTAAACGATCCATGACGTTCATTTCATTTTCTGTCCTCTCCACGAATACTAAATTGATAACTAACCAATTCTTAGATCCTATTTGGACCCCAATTGGGGCTACTTTCGATGCAACCATCTTACAAGGCTACCGTAACCTTATACGCGCCGACTTAAGGTGCTGTAACCCTCCACTACGAATACATATTTTTTGAGTTATCATCTTAAATGCGCAGGTCTGGCCCCGGGCTGTGGGAATCCGCGTGATATATGTAAGCTATTCCTGTACGAGTCTCTAAATGTTAGCTTGGTTGGACCTGGGATGGTCAAATCTTATCTCACATGAATATGCAATGTCCAGCATCCTCTCGTAGAGAATCCGAAGCTACAGGTATTATAGTATACTCCATTTATGGATTCTTCAGCTTGATTTGCTATCAAGCTTCGGGTTCTGCGTCGTGAGACAAGCTTAATCAAGACATTCCAAGCCACACTCGCGGAATGAACTACAGCGCGTCGGCGGGATCTTTTTGTTGATTAAACTACACATGAGCTGAGGGCCATGTGGTCCACTTTAGAAGGGATAAACTCTCCCTTTGAGATAGAATGTTAATGAAGGTGGGTTGACTAGCCGTACGGGCGTCAGAGTTAGTTATCTTATAAGACCATGAGGAAGAAACGTGTTGCTAGCATGGTTTAACACCTAGCCGAAGTCCTTGGGCTTCACCTTCTCATACTATCGCCTCGACTCCCAGGGATCTTCACGACGTCAACGATGGCTATGGTTTCTTGGCTTATAGTTTCGATTTTACTGCTATGCCTGGTACATACGGTGAAAAGGGTGAACGATAGACGTAGGATCCCGCCTAATATTCGGCCACTACCTGGACCGAAGTGTTAGTCTTCATCACCCCTTATTTCAACAAGGTGCCTTCTTCTAACTTGATATAGCCCTGCCTCTAATCGGCCGCATCCATGATATTCCAGTGAATTCGTCGTGGTTGAAGTTCTACGAATGGAGCAAGGAGTATGGCCCAATATATCAGACTAAAATGTTTGGTACGGTCCACGTCTGGATTTCAACAGAGCGAATCGCGATGGATCTGCTTTCGCGGCGGGCACGCAACTACTCAGACCGGCCACAGATTCCTAATCTTCCTGATAATCGAACAAGCGGACACTACCTTGCGCTGTCGGGGCATAATGGTAGATAGAAAGACACAGAATGACCTTTTATCATTCTTCACTAACGCGCGATATAGGTACTTGGAAACGCCAGCGGAAGCTCTGCCAACAGTTGATGAGCGTAACGGCTAACGCCTCGCTATATGATTACCCAACAAAAGAACGGGATCGCTTCTTATATCTCCTATCACGCGACCCGTCACAATATCGGGAATACGTCGAGCAATTCACATCACGAACAGTAGCGCGGCTCTCTTGGGGTAGTCCCCATCCTGCCCAGCTTTTGCGAGTGACGACTTCCGGTCTCCTCGAAACCATCTCCCCTACAGGCGCCCTGCCTAATGCTGTGCCCTGGCTTATGCATATACCTAGATTTATAAGTCCGTGGAAGCAGAAAGAAAATGCCCGACATAGACTCGAAGCTGGACTTCTGAAGGGGAGTGTTCGGTACGTACGCGACCGCATTAGCGAGGGGAACGCCGAACCAAGTTTCGTACATACATTCATAAACCAACCGAGCAGCCTAAATGATAAGAGTAAAGGGGGCGACGAGGCCGAGGCCGAAGCCACGTATGTTGTCGGGCAAATGGCCATCGCCGGAGCCTTGACGATTGGAAGTCCGATCCAGAGCTTTATACTTGCCATGTTGCATTATCCCGAGTGGCAGAGAAGACTCCAAGATGAAATAGATACCGTATGCGAAGGAAGGTGTCCCGAATGGGAAGATCGTGAAAAGTTGCCGATGCTTCGTGCCGCCGTGAAGGAAACGGTTCGGTGGCGCCCCCCGGTCCCGACAGGTAGGCCACCCACTGAGATTAAACGTGCTTTTCACTAACGCTTGAAAGGAATTCCACACGCGATAGAAAACGATGATGTCTATGACGGTTATTTTATTCCTGCCGGTGCTACTATTCATGCCCTGGAGTGGTAAGCCGAAAATAACCATATTTTAAAATGTAATCTTCTAACCCGTCATTAGGGCTATTACCCGCGACGAGTCCGTATATCCAGACGCGGATACTTTCAATCCTGCTCGGTGGCTAGAATCGAAGTATCCTACCTATAAGGAGCCGCTTTCCGTATACCCAAACCTCAGCGGTTTCAGTCAGTTCGGCTTCGGCCAGCGCACGTGCCAAGGCGTTCCAATCGTAGAGCAAGATCTATTCTTGACGATGGGTGGGATGGTGTGGGCTTTCAATATCCGGAAGAAATGCCGGGAAGACGGTAGCGAAATACCCGTGCATTGGAATGACTACACGCCGTTGCTCATAGCCAAGCCGGCGCCATTCGAATTCGACGCGGTGGTCCGAAGCAAGATAAAGGAGATAACTCTAAGGCAGATGTGGGAAACAGGTAAAGGCGAGGACGACGAAGAGGAAGAGCGGAATGAATTCCTTATACAGACGCGGAAAGAAGATATCGTAGATATAGTAGAGGCCACGGAGGCAGCGCATGAAGATGATACTGCAAGTGATCGCGGTAGCGAGACAAGTGTTTCGGGATCACTCGCAAGATCGGCTTCATCTGTTAGTATAGGATCTGATAGCGAGTCTGGGGATGGGGGTAGCCCTACATTAGCGTCTAGGTTTCATTTATCGAAACGCCGGGCGATGATGATGATGGCAACGGAGGTAGGGGAGCAAACCGTACAGCAAAAATGATAAGGAAACGCTAAATAAGGTAACTATAGGATAGGATAGGATAGGATGGCATGGCATGGTGCGGCATATGTTAATTTAAGGGAGAAGGACATAGGTTAGCAGTAAGTTAGCTATCGGCATGTGAATAAACATTCGTTTTGACGTTGAGGTTGTTGAATACTCTTCGGTCGTTCATCTAACTAGCTACATCTGAATACTTCCATCTGTACTCCTACCCTACCTGTAGCCTATAAGCGTAAAATGTATGAAATCGGAATAATTCATACGAGTTTAATTAAATGTCGGCAGTTTTCAAATGCAGTAACTAGACTGAACTGCAAGTAAGACATAACAACACCCATAGGAATCAAACCTAAAGTTACTTCATAGTTCTTAACAGTATTAAGGAAGGCTCGCTAGCCGGAGGATCGGGAACCAACGGCAGCCCAACTATTCCCGACGACCTGCCAAGGAACAATAGGGGCTGAAAAATAAGGGGTAGAGTCAAGAAAATCCGCGGAGTAGGTCGGAAATATCTGCGAATAATGAATACGATGTATGAATCAGGCTCATGAAACTAAAATGAGAATGTCCGGAAGTATAGGTAATTGTAGCACTACAATTACCTCTTGAACATCAAACACAGTGGTCAGGTTGGAGGATGAGAATGCCAAGTCTCTCAACTAAATGCTAGCTGATAGGCACATCCACGCGCCAAGCTATTAAGTCTTTCCTCATATGGTAATATTTGAGCATCTAAAACTTTTAAGTAGGGTTAAGATCGTACTTCTTCTATATTATTACTCTTGCTTACATACTAGGCTGTAGTAGTAGAATGAATACCTGCTATGTATGTAAACGCTTTTATGAGAGGAATCTCAGGTTCGTACATAGGTATAGCTCGGAAAATAAGTTACGTAACACTGATTCCCAAGAATTGGCTAGATTCAATAATAATTAAACAATTCGTAACGAGACGTTTTATAAACGTAGAGGACGTGATGGGTAATTCGATGATGAGCTGGTGTAGTCATTGGTAATACGCTAGATTTACATAGCATCAACTGGGGTCCGGGAATCGCCGTCATCAGATAAGATGGAACTGCATAGGAGACGATGCCACGAACTGGATCAAGATGGAGAAAAGGAGGGGGAATGTAAAGAGGTACTAAACAATAAAGACGCAGAGTGAGGCATTAGGCATTAGAGAGGTACAAAGGTTATTATATTTTAGGTACATACATGTATGTACCTTGGGTTAGGTACCTATGTATTCAAGTATTTAGTATTCAAGGCCGGCATGGAATATCCATGTCATGACCCGCAGTTACTACGATGGATCCATTGTGCGACCCGAGATACGGGGTGAACTAGGGTTAGAAAGCAGCTGTCAGACCGAGATAAGCAGCTGCGTAGCCTGCTTTTAAATTCTAATAGCAGCTGTTTGCTTATCCTTTTACATAGATGTTCCTTTTTAAATGTTCCTCTGCTATGCAACCTTCACTATTTTCATCACTATGTATGTACAGCTCATAGCTTACAGCCTACCGACAAAACATACAATCCACAGTGGCAGATCAGCGCAAATGACTTGTCATTTCCACAATTTCTAGTATTCGACTAATCTCTCACTAGCCAATGCATCGTTGCGTCCAAATACTTTCCTATCAAGTCTTGCTGAGATGCTGTTTGATATTTTGACGAGTAACAAACCACTACCACCACTACCACCACTTAGATCCGGCGCTTGATTTCGGCGATAGAGAATTATTATTGTGATATAATGATAGCGACAGTGGGTAGACATCCGATCCCTCACCACCTATACACACCTATACACATATATAGGTACACACTTAGGTACATATTCGCAATGCGTAATGTGCAGAGGCTTTTATTTCCGAATATCCGACTACTTCGATACCTCGCGTGTAATAATTAATCATATTAGGCACGCTAGCAGGTTCGAAGCGTCGAGGCTGGCAAGGTACAGAACGCAATAGTACATACACAGTAGCGGACCGGTAAATGACGAGAGACCCATTTGCTAGGAACAGCCCTACTCATTGCTGGTGGCCCCTTGTGGGGATTCATCCGCCGCCGGCCAATCGAGCATGGTTATGAGATGGTTACGAGCATGGTTATTTTCAGCAGAGATATATTAACATGAAATAAAAAAAACCAATGGACCAGACAAGTAACAAGTAACAACCCTAGATCTATGGAGCTGAACTTGAATAGCTGAGCTTCGGCTGGTACACAGACCCATCGCGGCGAGCGGGATGCTAGTGTATTTTCTATCCCTGTCTGCCGTCCAAAATATTCCCTGATTTATTACACTATAGGTGTATTCATAATCATAATCCCTATGTATGGATCTGTCAGGTTTACCTTAGGTCCCTGATTTGTGTCTGCATGCCCAAGCATGGGGTTGGACATGGCGAAACGCCATCGCGAATTCTGAACCCCTCACCTCGATCGAAGGACGTTAGCGAGTTCTGCTAATCTATTCGTCCAATTTTTTCTTATTCACCAATCTCGTTCAAGTCATGGTAGAAGAAGAAAAAAAAACCTTTCCGACTATCACGACAGATACCGCCCAGCAACACCCCCCCTCCCCCCCTGTATAGTTTCGTTACCTATTGTTGTACATATCCAATGGCTACTACTTGTTAATTACTTTACTTATTCCCCAATTCCCCTTTCAACATCACTGTTACCGGAATCTCCATCTTGAACCTTCTTTGCGAGCATACATCCCAGTTCTAGCGCCTTAGATTTCGAAGCCGTCTTTAAAGTGTCTTAGGAACTGCTAGCAACTCCTTTACGCTAAGCCTTATTTCTCATTTCATTTCATGAACCGATTGTGAATAAGCCGGACGACCCGCCAATACCAAATTAAACTCTTGCTCGTTCGGCATCTTATCATATTCGATTATAGTATCTTGAACAGAATAATTTGATACCTTCGGTCCAGCCTGCGACTTAAGAGGGGTGTTGATAGAAAAGAGAGCAGAGGGGAAGCACCCGTCACCGTATATCTCGGGTCGTGGCAGTAGTGGCCACTTAAAATCTAATTGCTCATCGACCGCCATCGATTTTTCGATATCATTTACAAACCCTCATCTATCTACCTTACTACAGCCTATAATTTTTATTTTCGAAAAAAAAGGGAGAGAAACCAAAAAAGAGTCGATAATTATTTAGTACCCTCTCGTCATTCCGTAGTCAAGTAAGAACCCGGTTCCAATGGAGTCTTACACACACGCGCCCAGCGTTGCGCCTTCGATCTCGAATCCATCTCCAACCGCGTTATTAGGCTCGGAAATACTCAATCAGCCACCCCACTCAACATCGGTACCCTCTGACTCGGGTGCTCTCGATTCACGGGCGTTACCCCAGAATACTGTACAGGCCGCTTGTCTTGGATGCGTGAGTCTAAAAATCCTTGGTTTTTACAATAAAGCTATTATGCTAATTATATATCCTTTTTTTGCGAAATCAGAGAGGAAAACATCTAAAATGTGATGGGAAGTATCCGTGCTCGCGCTGTCAAACGTCAGAATCCGAATGTGTCTACGTGGCTTCTCGTCGCGGTTATAAAGGACCAAGAAAGAATGCCGTCTCAAACCCAAATAAGCGTCAGGCAACTGACTCTCCGCCGTCTGCCGGCAGTGATAGTTGTCCGATGCTGTTAGGTGCGACGGTTTCAACCGCTGCGCCTCCGAGCTTAGCGACCTTTAATCCGGCCATGGTAATCCCCGAGTCGCCCGCAACGCCATTTGTGCCCCCTGGCATGAACGGCCTTCAATTGTATAGAAATCCTTACCTTAATGGTACTAATGGTGCTCTGGTAGAGGCAAACTCACGACCACAGACGATTCCGGAGCGTTGTATCGATGCCTTTTACTATTTTTTCTACCCCGGTCACCCTGCTGTTCTACCAAAGGACTACCTGCTCAAGATGTCGAAAGAGAGGGACCTTAATCACTTGCTCGCAGCGATGAGGTGGGTTGGGTCTTTATATATCGACGCCGGTCCTTCTCGTGCTACGTTCTTCGAAGAGGCCATGCGTTTGGTTTACGCTCCGAACGTTGTCAAGGATGGTTACCTGGTTCAAGCTATGGTCATCGTTCTCATAGGACTAGATGGCAACTGCCAACAGGAAAAGGCACGCGAAATTCTGTCCGACGTGGAGCGGATCGCCATAGAAATAGGCCTCTATACGAGGGCTTACGCCACGACGCACGGATGCCATATCCCAAGGCTAGAAGAGAGTTGGCGACGGACGTGGTGGGACTTATTCGTCGTAGACGGAATGGTTGCCGGAGTGCACCGTCACACCAATTTCCTCCTCTTTGATATCGTGGCTGATGTTGGCCTTCCATGTGAAGAACATGAATATACGTCAGGAGTACGTTCATATTCTGATGAGCATCAATACCTAAGAATCCATTAGCTAACAGACAAATTCTGGTAGAATATCCCACGTCCGATGCTTTTGGAGGAGTTCGACGATCAGATTTTCTCTGGAGAAGAACGAGAGTTCTCCTCGTTCGCCTACCGTGTTGCATCCATAAGGAACCTCGGGCGCATGATGCGACTAAGTGGTTATCCGAGTGACGAGAATGTCAACAAGATCGAAACGTTGCTTTCTAACTGGAGGATGCATTTGCCGCAATCGAAGCAGCATAGTCTGAATAAGAACTGTCAACCAGACGAGATGATGTTCCAAGCGCACATGATTAATCATGCGTAAGTGGATGCCATACAACCTCATAGAACTGTCTATACTAACAAGGTGGCCTGTGTAGTTGCTCAATAATGTTGCATCAGCCTCTTTCACAGCTAGATTCGTCGCCGGCGCGTGAAGTGACGGCTTGCGCGCCACATCGGGCAGTCCAGAGTGGTGACCATTTCAATATCCACACTAGGCACATCATCACAGCTTCGTGCGAGATCAGCAAGATGGTTACGTATAACGTGCCAATTACTAGCCATACGCATTTTTTCACGTGTGTGCTAACCCTTTCCTCAATCGTCCATCTTAGCAAATGGGCCCTCGAGTACTTCATCCAAGACGAAGATGAACTTCGACAACAAATCCGACTAAATATCGGAGCTCTAAACAAGCTCAGCGGCGTTTGGAAGGCGGCCAGTACGGCGTCAAGCCAAGTCAAGGGTGTCGCACAGGAGATATACCGCGCTAAGAGGGCGCAGCAGAATAATCCTTCGTTCTGGGTCGGATTCACGCAGGAAGAAATGATCAGCAGCATGGCGACCGACGAGGGCATTATGTCTGAGATCAACACTATGCTCACAAGCGCACCGAGTGCACCTTGAAATAACGAGGATTGACTGCTCTATTCGGCATCGTGATAAATTCAAGACAGTCGAGTACCATCCGCTTCAATAAGGATTCGGTCGTGAAGGTGCCTATGTGCGCCATTCTAGGTCCAGACTGAGTATATATATATATGAGAAGATCTAGGTTTTTTTCTCTCTCTTCATATAAATGATAAGCTGCATGGCGAGGGTTGGGAAAATTCGTAAGCTCTGCAGACCTTAGCAGTAACTTATGCGTTGAGAAAGAGGCGCAGCAAGTGGACAAGATAGCCAAATAAATGCCAGAAAAAAAAAAGGGCTCGACGAACGAGGTATAATGGTTTGATGATAACTAGGACATAGATGTACTTACAAATAGTCTCTCTTTCTCGCCGGATACGCCCATTCGACTTTGGCACATTGACCATTGACAATATTTAGCAAAAAGATTGGACACACACAGATGGGTAATGTTTATATTATATCTATTTGAGCTACGGTGTAATTGCCTAGGTTAGGTACTCGTTGGTAGAATGATAATAATAGATGGTGCTTCCACAACGGCGGGTCTTCTGCTCGTATTTTAGCGCCTAGCATAAGATGATATAGTACAATCTTAGCCATAATAGCGTCGAAAGAAGCATATCTATTCGCCTAATAGACCCTGCATCTTGCTTGCTTACAGAGTGGAGCGGAGTAGAGCAGGTCGCCGTCCATTACATAGACACACACGGTTTCTTTTACCTGTAGAATCGAAAAAAGTCGGCATGGTTAGAAGGACTAGCAAACCAACCTACATGAGATCGACACAGCGATGTTGGGCGGAATTGGCGAACTGACACACGCCAACCATGCGCTAGATTCGATCATAAGGCCATATTACCTAGTAATCAAGTAAAAGTTGGGTATGACTAGCATAGCAGGACCCGATAGGATGGTTGGGGGCTTTTTTTCGGGGGGGAAGGGGGGGGGGGACGCCTACATAGTGGCGCTGGTCTGACTGACGGGCTTGCGACCCAAGAGTGTAGTCTTAATGGATTCCCATTAATAGGCCTGCTAAGGGGTTTTCTGTTATGCATGTATATTTATTTATTGCTTCACGGGTCCGAGTAACATATTAATTAGTATTTACATTCCTAACATGCGGTAGTTAATTAATTATTAATGTGTTTTTCTTTTCATATCTTAGTACGTAGGTACCTACGTAGGTAGGTTGGGCATGCCGGGAAATATTCTTACCATGTTTCTTTCTATGTAAATTGACTGACTTAGCCATGTCAAATGTCCTATGAGGACTACCCCTTTTTCAAAAACTACCTCCAAGTCTATGTAATGTATTGGCACAGATCCCCATTCCAACCCCACTAGGTAGTTAGCCGGACTTAATATCATGGCCGATGGATTCCCCGGGTGGGAACATAGGTAGACGGCGATGTGGCGGGGTTCTGAAAGGTTGCCGGCGGGAATCCTCTTTTTTTCTTTTGAACGATGCCCGTTCCAATTACATTCTTCCCTTGATACCCACAACCTTATTATCGGTCATCTAACGGGTACTTTAATAGATGCCGTAGATACCGAGCCTTACTAATTACCCAGAAGATTAAAACAATATGAGGGTCGCCGAATAATGGTCCCATATGTTAAGTAACCGGTAGCCGAATATGTATATGCAGTATGGTTCGCCGACCTCTCACATAGTATGATATTTCATAGTCTAACCCGACGTCTCCGTTATCATTAAGTCTCTCCCATCGCATACAAATTTTACAACCTCACTTAGTAGCTACTCGGCATGTTGGTTAGATCGCCGAGCTCACCGACATTTCTTTTCAAGCCTATTTCTATCGCCTCCTTAGCCGTGTCTTACTGTATGTCTACCTACATATGCCTCATCTACACAGGAGGATCTTTCACTACAAAGCGATAGAACGCCGAAATGGCATCGTTTTGAAGCCCGAGTTTATATTTGAGAGGAGACCGATGACTTGGAGGCTTAGAACGTCGCCGATGATATAACTTCGGTTATCTTGGAGCTAATCGGACCCCGAACTACAGGTTACCGCGATGCCGAATGGTCCTATGGTCATATGAAAGCATCGCCGATGATTCCTCAAGTCGCCGTCTTAACCTTGTTTTTCCTGCCAACTAAAGTATAATTTATTTGCATTGTCTCACTGGAGGTATGAAGAAGACAGCTTTACTACCTATTTCGTATGTAACGTCTAGTACCGTAGAGAGTACGCGGGTATCAAAGGTACCTAACCTTGAAGGCTTTAAGCACTCATCTTTAAACACCCATAGCCCTATCTACCACCATCTAATCCTCAGTCCAATATCTATTGGTGAATAATAATAATATAGGAATCCCGACTCCGGACGCCTCGCTTAAATAAAAAAAAAAAAAAAAAAAAAAAAAAAAAAAGCCCACCCTGCCTCAGTTGCACCGTTATCCCCTTTTAACTCTACTAACATCCATACAGATGCTAGTATTCTTTTTTTAAGACCCAGCAAGGTCCATGTCTTGTAACAGCGCGAAATACCAATTGGGACTCGAGTTAGGCTTACCAAGCTTACTTTTCAGCCAACACTCGGTCGAGCCCTCAAGGTTACCCCAGCCTACACCGACACATCCCGAATGGTCACCGCAGGCGTCGATACACTGAGACATGCTGGCTTTATACATATGCGTTAAGTCTTCCGCGCCATCGTCTGAGCTATAATCGAGTCCGCACTGCACGTTGAACGGCTTGGAACTGCCCCGCGACACGTACACCGTGTTATTATTCTGCGGGCAGATCACAGGGCCCGGTATTAAGGTTCCTGTGAAGCTTGGCGTCGGCGATACCTTGGTGGATGATGGTGTCGTCGACGTCGGTGTAGTGGACGTCGGCGATACTGATGAGCATGAAGATGAAGATGACGAGACGGCACTATAGGGAAGATGTGTTAGTTTATTCGCATCTATTGGACGCCGCATTAAAGTGTCAAATATCTAGTTCCTCGAATCACCATCGGTAATAGCTCGTTCGGCTGACGTGAGCAGAGTGTGTGTCTTACTGCTTCTCTCATGACGGCTGACATGATATCACGTTTATCTCATGTCTCGAAGCAAATAGCACCGAAAGAAATTGAAACGCACCTTGAATTTTCGGCAGAGGCTGCGACAGAACTACTTTTCCTCGTCCCTAGACCGACACCAAGACCGGCTGCGATGGCAACAACTAGCAAAAATAACCCGATGGCTAAAACAATGAAGAATGTGTTCCGCCTGATGCCGCATATTCTCTGATCCTCCTTCCGGGGTCGTGCTGGCATCGTTGGAGAATAACCCCTCGGTGTTCGGTAGTCAACCGTATTTTCGGGCGATCCCGTCCATTCGCCGGAGAACGTCTTAGACACCGGCGGGGGTGACCTAATAGGTTGTTGAGTATAGACCCACGTCTGAGTGCGTGCGGTGCCATCCTGGTTATATACCGTCGCTGACACTGCTTGAGGAGAACTCGCCGGCGACGAAGTTTGCGATTGAGAATGCATCATATTATATTGCTGCTGATGCGGTTGAATATAAGCCTGCTGGCCGTGTCCGTACTCGTACCCATTGCTATGGCTATGCGTATTATATGCATCGTAAGCCTCTTGCTGCTGTGACTCTTGTTGCGGACCCAATTGGTATGACATTGCTCAGCGTAGAATTACCAATATCTTGAGCTTTCATGATAGATAGAGTAGCCGAGAGAAAATATCCAAAGACATAAACACGGGAAGCAAGAGTGTAGAAGTAGACGAGTGGTGACAAGCTTACATATTATTCCTTCTCGAAGAATACCTACATAGGCTAACGTAGAATTGGTTCTTACATACATACATACATACATACAGAACTGGCATGCATGTCACTCCACTATCGAGGCTACGGTCTATGTATGGGTAGGGGCGCTGTTCGTTGTACTAGGTGGTGAACTATTCTACTTTAGATCCTTAATGCTACCCCAGCTTTGCTGACCGCATGTGTGTATGACTTACGAGTTTTTAAGACAATAATGGGAGGTCGCCCACTAGGACTAATAAGTGAATAGTTTTCCTATAGACAGTTGAAAGATTAACTATTTCGAATTGAGTAAATTCCTACTATATATCATAGTATTTCATCCCCAAATCGGCCTTAGAAGTGTCATATGGATTGCTGATTCGCTACTCAGGTCCATAATTGAGATATCGAACAGTTTAGGATATCTATAGTTTCGTATTACCATCCAAGCAACACTGTGTTCCTATTATGTACCCAGGTATCCAAGCCCCTGTTACATGTAAATATATGTATGGTCGGTGGTACGGTGGTGCAGCTCACGAAGTTACAGCATCTGCAGCGAACTTTTTCTCGTGGCGTCATCACAGAATACGGGGGGGAATTATGATTCCATAAGTAAGATAGGGCAGAGCTGTATCTACATGGGGGAGCTTCAGGAAGGCTTAGCTGAACCAATCAACCCTCTTTGCTATCGTCAGTCCATAATCGTTCACGAACGAATCTTTCACAGCCGACGCGCCAAGAGCAATGGAATATATTTAAGCTCCTAGGAGCCGCCTTACCCCGTGCCACTATAGCTGAGCATCGTGGGCTAGTCGGTGAGTCTGCCACTAATCAGTACATGGGCCCTAGTTATGGTGTGGAGATCTTATAATAACTGATAATCTACGAGGGTCCCTGGATATAACAGGGTCTTTTCACCAATCAGACACCTTGGTTCATCACGGCCAACCCGAGTTTACTACAATAATTCAGACGAAGATTATCTGCAAGTAATTGACGTGATTATACGTTCGCAATATCTCGAGGCTTGCCCACTTGTGAGAGGATATAACTAAAATATTAGTGAGCCCAAGTTTCGCAGTTCTATAATTACAAGGTAGTTGGTTAATCAGTATGAAATAATCCACAATAGCTAGCTCACACCCACCCCCAGATGAGAACTGACGACGGACCACCGGTATACGATTCTATAGAATCATAGCGGGGT